AATAGTGGGTTGTAAGAAGCATTGACATTTCTGAGATATGTCGTGAGTATCATGCAATAATTGTTAAAAAATGCGAATCCATGGCAGTCGTCCTGTGTGCTATCGAGGAACTGTTAGTATCATTCAATAATATTGGTAGTAAATATACCATGACTAAGCATGATATTGATTGGAGATTTTGAGCTTCCGAGGGGTTCCAAGTCATGGGGCACTTTCTTGCCATGTTCAAACACTTGGTCCAACTATGTATTGTATCTTATATAAACGATTTAGGGCTAAAATAAACTATCAGGTAAGTTATCTAAGCTTTGATGACTACATTTTTTATGTTGATTATTAATGCTATTCTACAATTTTCAGGGTACACGCCGCACCGATCATGGTATGCAACTATACCATGTGACTTTTCCCAGGCTAACATTCCCCTCCACTTATCTTTGACGTCCTCAACAAAGATTTGATTATTCACGGTACTTCTTCAGGATCTTAACATTTATAGGTATAAGTAAGACTTTTCCTTGAAGTGTTCTTAACTTATATGTATTATTAGGAAGCTGATCATGTATGTAAAATAGACCTTTCCATTTGTCCACAAATTTTTCACTTCGCGAACTTTCCTTAGCAGCATAATATAGTAGAACTTTATCCCCAATATCAAAACCTATTGCAAGCTTTTGATGAGTATCATGATATAATTTTTGTTTCACTTGTGCATCTCGTATATTACTCATAACCTTTTCTCTTATGGCCGGAAGCTGAGTTACAAGATCAAATGTCCTTTGAATAATCGTTCCTTCTAACAAGTCTTCAGGTATGCCAGAGCTTATTGGCTGTCTTGCTTCTCTCCCATGTATCAAATAAAATGGAGACATTCCAGTTGTAGCACGTTTTGCCATTCGATATGCAAAAAGAATCGATGGTATTAACAAATCCCAATCTGTGACATTTGTTGCTAATTTAGTTATAGCTTCGCACAAGGTTCTATTGAACCATTTGACCAATTCGTTAGTTTGTGGATGGTATGGCGTAGCCATCTTATACTTGATGTCAAGTTTCCGTGTTAGCTTCTTCACTATATTATTATTGAAATGCATGCCTCTATCCGTTATAACCTTGGCTGGGTATCTGTGCCTACAAATGATATCATTGTACAAGAAATCAGCTACAGTTTCAGCATCCACTCTTTCTACTGCTCGAGCTTCAGGCCACTTAGTCATGTAATCCATGGCTACAATAATATAACGCTATAGTCTGGGTGTCCATGGTAGGGGTCCCACAAAATCAACTCCAATTTGATAAAATGGCACAGTCACAGGTAAGGGACACAATGGTCCAGGTACTAATGCTTTCCCCCTTCGTTGGCATTTATCGTATCGTCATACATAAGCTTCAATATCGGTGTACATTTTAGACTAATGGTATACGTTACGAATCTTCTCAAATATTGCATCTCGATTAAAATGACTTTCCAAGGGATGGTGATGCATCATAAATAAAATTGGTTCTATTTCATGTTAACATACAACTTGTAGTAATTGGCTCCTATTACATCCCTTTCAATATAAAATTCCATCCCTGAATTCAAAGAATTTGCTCTTCTTCCGTATTTTTTGTTTTTCTCTTGCGTCGAGTGTGTTTGACAATTTCCATGTCTTCAAATATTTCATTAAGTGCATGTAATGATCTTTGTCCATTGTCACTAGCATATATGCATACAACAAAGAAAGTTAATAAAAAGATATAGGCTAAAAGAATAAAACAATGTTCGCTTCCATTATCTCCCCTATGTTTTTTTTTTTTTTTTTTTTCACCTTCCCGCTTTCCTTAATTCTCCCCCCTTTTTTTTTTGATATTAGAGCCGGAACAACGTATCGGTATTGTTGTGCTCCTTTCCTTCCCGATGCTTGACATCAAAGTTATAAGGTTGGAGTCGTAAGATCCACCTTGCCCTTCTTCTCGTTAGTTTTGATGTCTTTAGTCATTGTAGTGCACTATGATCGGTGATCACTACGAATGGGTTCATCCCATAGTAATAATAGAAGTGTTCCACTGCCCATAACATGGCTAAACACTCTAGCTCAGTGGCTATATAATTTCATTCGTATTTCATAAGTCCTCTACTAGTATACACGATGACATATTCCTTACCATTGTCATTTTCTGTGCTAACACAGTGCCGAGCCCAATTCCTGATGCATTAGCGTGAATATAAAAAGTTTTATCAAAGTCAGGGTATCATAATACAGGTGCTGTTGTTAGGTGTTGCTTCAGTATTATGAATGCCTGTTCTTGTTCTTGTTCCCATTTAAACTTTATATGCTTCTTCATCAGTTGGTATAATGGTCGAGCAATTGTTGCGAATCCTCGAATAAACTTCCGGTAATAGAATGCTAGTCCTATAAAGCTTTGCAATTGCCGGAGGTCTTGTGGTGCTGAAAAGTTTTTAATCTTTTCCACCTTAGTTTTATCTGGCTTGATCCCTTCACTATCAATGATATGGCCTAAAAATCTGATTTCTTGTTTAAAGAAAACACATTTATCCAGGTTTAACTTCAACCCTGCATTTCAAAATATCACGAAAACTAAACTCAAATGATTACAATAATCTCTAAATGCGCCAGAGAAAACCATTACATCATCCAAATATATTGCTATAAATTTTCTAATGTAATTCATCAAAAGTTGATTCATTAACCGTTGAAATGTCACTGGGGCATTACATAACCCAAAGGGCATGATGTTAAACTTGTACATTCCCATCGGTGTCACGAGGGCTGTTTTTTCCTGATCCTCTTGCTTCACGGCAATCTGCCAATATCCACACATTAAGTCCAGTGTGCTAAACCATTTCGCTTTCACAAACAACTCTAAAAGGTCATTCACTCGTGGTAGTGGGTATACATCTTTCTTGGTGATAGCATTCAACTTCCAGTAATCAACACATAATCACAATTTTCTTCCTTTCTTCGGCACAACTACAATTGGCGAAGACCAGGGGCTACGTGATTCACCGATTAATCCTCTTTCCTTTAACTGAATAAGCTTTTGCTTTACAAAATCCCTAATACTAGGTGCCATTCGATAAGCAGCTTGCTTTATTGGTCTAGTATCAACAGTACTAATCTCATGATAAACTTTTTTGATACATCCCAGTTCCTGGATTGATTTCGCAAAGACATCGCTTTCCCATTTTAGGTACGTTTTTGCTTCTTCCTGCTGTTCCCGATCCATTTCTTCCTGTGCACTAATTTTGCTTATTCTTTCCTCGATGGTTTCTTCTTGTTGCTCATCATCCTTTATTGGTAGTTCTTCTAATTGC